TATACTGTGCAATAAATAAAATGATGAACTGGAAGTATTTATGAGTTCAAATTTACTACACTTTTACAGTAAAAGCAACAAAACCACAAATGTTTTCTAGCACTATAAACTAAATATGTTGAGAAAACAGAAGCAACTCAGGAGTAATAAACTCTCCTATCACTTAGACTGCTGCCTACACCTTATCATTAAAATTAAAATAAAATTGCACGGGAGAGCCTGGCAAGCTACCCGTGATGTATTCGTATGCCAAACACAGTAACAACAAAGTCTCCAATGGAGACATTACTGGGCCCGCTCGAGCAAATCGATGAACAACGGGAGGACCGTGACTGTGACCTATGGGTCTGGAACAGGAAACAGTGAACAAAGACATTCAGGAAAGTGATCAGAGACTGCTAGAATCATGCTGCGAGAACTGAAGAGTCTACTGAGGGCCTGGAGCATTAGTACAGCAGGGAGGGTGCTTGTCTTGCACCCGGCCAACATTGATTCAATCCCTAGTACCCCATGTGGTCCTCCAAGCCCTGCCAGGAGTGCACTCTGGGTGCAGAGCCAGGAGTAAGTCCTGAGCACAGCCAGGTGTGGCCCAAAAACCAAGGGGGAAAAAAAAGCCCATCAAAGAGGCTCTTACAAGCTACAGACAACAATTACACTGAACTGAAATACATTAAATATACTTAAATTCATGAATTCAAAAGAAAATTAAGGGAGGAAGTACAGTCACTGCTGAAGATGCTAACAAGCTAGCTCATTACAGTGATGTTAGCAAAAAAAAAGGGGGGATAAATAATCAATTTTCTACATCCTGGCTTTCCTTTATAAACTATACCACTGGATATAACAGCTGCATTCTTTCTGGAAGATGTCAGCTACTAAAGAGAAAATGATACATCAGTACTTCAATGATCTTAATCCATACAATACAAATAATCAATGACCAATACCATCACTGACATTACTGCAAATACAAATGGAGAAATATGACATTATAAATGACACTACTTATATACAGTAGTTATGAAGTGGGTACTGGGGATCAGGTGTTCTGACTTGAGGATGCAAGTCTCCATAATCCAATAACCAACTTACGCATTTGCAGGCAATAGCATAAACAGAGGACATGCTGAACGATTCCACAGGCATGTACCAGCCAAATCCAGGCCTTGGAAGTTCCTCGGCAAAGGGTAGCCAACTCCGTTAGTTCTTGCAAGTATCTTTACTGAAAACAAACAGCTATGCCATTCATTTATCTACACTCTCTATCTGCCATCACACCAAAGGCAGGAGAGAACAGTTCTGAGCCACAGAGCCTAAAGTCTTTTCCCAGGGCTGCACCCTTCCCCCCACCAACACCCCACCCCACCCCTGCCAGCCCCTAGACAGCTCAGTGGGACAGGCTGCCTCCGAAAGGAAACTGCAAGTCTCATCTAGGTTCAGGCTCTGGACAACACCTCGCTGCAGACAGGAACACAACAAACAAGTAGCTGACCAGTAGTCACAAGAGAAGGGGACAAAGAAAACAGAAACAAAAATAAGTAAAAATAAAGCAAAAAGGGAAGAGAAAAATTTTGCCAAGTCTTGCTGTCAAAACAACAAACAAACTCTTCTCCCATTGTTCATCTATTTGCTCAAGCAGGTCCAGTAATGTCTCCATTTTGAGACTTGTTGTTACTGTGTTTGGCATATCGAATACGTCACAGGGAGCTTGTCAGGCTTTGCCCCGCAGGCAAGATACTCTCAGTACCTTGCCGGGCTCTCTTGAGAGGGGCGGAGGAATCGAACCTGGCTTGGCCGGGCTGGCTGCAGGCCAAGGCAAATGCCCTACCTCTGTGCTATCGCTCCAGCCAAGTCTTGCTAAATAAGATAAACAATAGAGCTTCTTCAACAAAATAGGACCAAAAGGATAGAAGGAAAACATATATAGAGTCAAACATATCAACCTCACTGAGGAAAGTTTATCTGTATATTGTAAAACCTATTTTTAAAAAAATCAAGAAAATTAGACATTTGTGTAATAACCATATATTTGGTATTAGAAGTCATATTTGAAATTGTCATAAAAAAAAAAGAGTTCTTTAAAGAAATCATACCAGAAATTGGAGGGGCAGTAAGGTGGGCCGCACCTGGTGGTGCTCAGGGATTGAACCAGGGTTGGCTGTGTGCGAGGCAAGCCCTTTACATCCCCTGTACTATCTCGCTGGTGCCCCTCTTTAAGCAAAATATGTCAAGGATTTGTTTTTAAAAATACAGAAAAGGTCAAGTGAATGGATGGAGGTAAAGCTGGAATACTGTCACAAGTGGATAACTAAAGCTACCACGTCATATAATGTATATGTGTATGAACTTTTAATATGGGGTCACATATCAAGTGGGACTCAAGGATCACTCCTGATTATGCTTGACAAACCATACAGGGTGCCAGGAATTGAATTCTAGTTGACCTCAGGCAAGGCAAGCACCCTACCCACTTGTACTGTCTCTCTGGCCCTATGACACTGTACGACACTCAAAAAAAAAATATATATATATATAATATATATTTAATTTGGCAGCAAAGGAGATCAAACTCAGGATCCCATACATGCATACAGGGGCTTTACTACTGAGCCACACCCTCAGTCCCCATGTAGTATTTTCTAATGTACACAGTAGCAACAACATGGTCACTAAACAGAAATAAAAAGAACCTGACTGCAAAGCAATGCAGACACTCTTGTACATTTCTTGATTGCCACTGCACATTATTTAGAAAGAGAAAATATTCATGTTACCTGTAACTTCCTGAAAACCTCCCTATCTTGGTGCAATAAAACCAAGCCTACCCCTAGGAGAGGATTAACTGTTCTTTTATTATGAGAAGCCAATAGAAAGAAGGCCATCTCTAGCACATACAATTTTGTGAAAAACTGAAAAATCCATTTTTTAAAAAAAATTTATTAGTGAAACACCATGGAGGTACAGTTGTAGACTTACAAACTTTCGTGCTTGGGTTTCAGTCAAGAAATCCATTAAAAAAATTTTTTTTGCTTTTTTGATCATACCCAGTGATGCACAGGGTTTACTCCTGGCTTTGCACTCAGGAATTACTCCTGGCAATGCTCAGGGGGCCATATGGGATGCTGGGAATCGAACCTGGGTCGGACGCATGCAAGGCAAACGCCCTTCTTCTCCCCCCCCCCCCCCGCCCACACCTCACCCCAGCCCCTCAGTCCTGTGAATCGGGTCTCAAGCTGTGCTGCCTTTGGCCCTTGGTCATTTTCTTGCTGTGTATCTTTATGCCCCACATATGAGGCACTTGTCCTTGCATGCATCCTTTTTTTCTTTTTTTTCACTTTTTGGGTCATGCCCGGCGATGCTGAGGAGTTACTCCTGGCTTTGCACTCAGGAATTACTCCTGGCAATGCTCAGGGGACCATATGGGATGCTGGGAATCAAACCTGACGCATGCAAGGCAAACGCCCTACCCGCTGTGCTATCACTCCAGCCCCAAGAAATCTATTTTTAAGACTGCCTTCCTCCATCATGACCGAAATGATTTATCTGAATGTTTATCATGACTGGGCACCCTCAGGTACAGTAGCACTTCTACACGCCTTCGGTCTACTCCATTCGAGGAGGTTCCCAGTGGGAAGGAAAGGCGCGCTCCCCAGGGCACACCCCCTTTCTGCAGGCCTGCATCTAGAGCAGGTGCTTGCCAGTTTGTGTGTGAGCTGTGCCCACTCTTGAGGTGGGCAGTACGCTGAGAGACTTGGTAGCCCCAACATTCCCTTCCCAAATATTTCGAAGTATCATCATTTCTCCCAGAAAAGCAGTTTCTTTCCCCACTGTGACAGAGCCTGGTGGGCAGTGAGCACATCACCAGCACTGCGGGCTCACCAGCATTTCTAAGGCAGGGGACAGGAAAGAACACTGGGCCACAGAAACTCCAGCTAGCCAGGCAAATCAAAATCCTGTTACACGTTGTTCCACTAGGATTACTGCTGTGATGTACCACGGGCACATCAGCACTACTGATCTCTTCTGAAACAGCGAAGTCCAGGGTCAGAGCAATAATAGTACAGCAGGTAGGGCACTTGCCTTGCACGCAGACGATCTGGGTTTGATCCCCGCATCCCATGTGGCACCTGAGCACCACCAGGAGTGATTCCTGAGTGCAGAGCCAGGTGTATCCCCAGGTGTGCCCCCCTCAAAAAAAAAAAGTAAAAATAAAAAAGGGAAGCCCTTCCTTGATGAAGGTACCTCTGTTTAGAGAGAACACAAGATTAGGACTCTTCGGTACAGAATGAGAAACAGACAAAAGACAACCAATGCTTCAAAGTGTATGGTTTTATGTCAGTTACACCTGATTGGGAGGGGAGACAAGAAACAAGACTGGTTGTGTTCAGGGGCTACCTAGGTTTGCAGGGGACCATGCAGGGCCACTCACATGTGCTCCAGCTTCTAAGTTATCTCCCAGGCCCTATGTCCGACTCAGTTAAAATATATACTGTCTATATCATATATACCAAAGCCAAGCCTAACAAATGCAGGTACTTAGTTCTCTCTCTCTCTTGCTGTCTCTCCTAAACTTTTACAACAGATTTTTATCCATTTTATACCAGTATCCTTCTATGAGTGTTAAACTGACATAGCATTGAGAAGGATGGTTTATTTTATACCTAAGTTATGACCAACCCCTTTCCCCCCTGGCCCCCCAAAAATCAAAGCACCTATTCATGTTTCAAAATAACGGAAACCAGAGATAAGTTTTACAGAAAGAATGGATTATTTGTATTCTGAAAATTGCAGGAAACTCGGTATAGTAACTCTGAGGCAACAGAAATTCTAGCTACTAACTTATTTTATATAGAATCCACTTAATATTCAAATTAAGTATTTAAATATTAAAGGTCAATATTAAATTTAAGACAGTTTTATAAATTAAAAAATTATAAAGATTCCTTTCCCAAGCCCTCCCACCCAAAATATCAAATTTATAGGACCAAACATAGACTTACTTGGGCAGTTAGAAAGGTATCATCTTCACCTTCTTGAGCTTCAATTTCCTAAGTAAAAGGGTATACAATAGCTTTGCTTTACAAATTATCTGGGTAACATGAGAATGCTTTTAAGCTCTACCTGATTATCCCCTGTGCGGGCTCAGTGCAGTGTCTATGATACCGTGGGTACTAGGTGCTTAATAATTCAGACTGCACTTTTCATGCTGACAAAAAAATTTGGCACACCAATAAAAAATTAGAAAAGACTCTTTCTTACACCTTCCCTTTACTAGTCTTGCAGAGCAAAAGTGTCTGAAGCATAAATGCTATCACCCTATTCCACATACCTCAAAAAGAGGCCAAAGTGGGCTGCTTTCACGCAAAGATGTGTCAAATTAAATGTTCTTGCATTAAACTTACATATTTTCCCCACCTTTCATAATTCACCAAGCAAATGTAAATAACTAACTTTCAATCTACTGAAGAACAAAAGAAAGAGGACAGCCCCCAGGGGCAGCGCTGGCAGTCGGAGGATATAGCCACACTCTAGTGTCTGAGATTCAAGCAGCGGCTGGGTTCTGGGCTCAAGGCCATAACCTAACCCACCATGGCAGAGCGCTCAATGTCACAGGGTGCTGCGTAAGAATCTCATGTAGAATAAGTAGCAACTTAAGAGCATACCAGCTATGTGAAAATTGTTTATGTCTGTGGAAGATAATAAGCAAAAACTTTAGAGATTATCTTAGCAAGTTTCTGGTTTATAAATAAAAATATCTAGTTTTAATTCTAAGACTTCTACAATGAGCAGAGAAAATACTTGTCATTATTTAGTACTTAATTTATCTGTGTCACATTTTAATAAAACTGGCTAAAGACCTGACTTTCGATGTCCTCTTTTTCTATATCTTCTATTGCTTCTGCCTCTATTAATTCATGAGCTCCCTTGTTGTCTTCTGCAGTAAGTAACTCCTTGGAAAGCACATTTTCTTCTTCATTTTCTCCAGATTCTTCTGAATCCTTTAGCTCGTCATTTCCATCTTGCTCATGGGTCTCTTGATTCTCCAATTCACAGTCCTTTTAATGGTAAGAAAATTTGGTACAACTCGAGGCAAAGTAGTGTAGGCTAGCCACCAAATGATTATTGTTGATTTATCTCCCTCCTCTGACACTCCCAAAGTCAAAGTTCAATCATTTTACTTTACATATCAACTGTATCTTAAAAAGAAAGTTGGGTCCAAGGCCCAGCTCATTAACCTCTACATTCCCATCCATTCTCAAATCTCAGGCAGAAACACAGCAACAGCACACCCATCAGAAACACCCTCAAGTGGCAGGCACTAAATTTTTACCAAGGTCCAGACAGAAGGCGCCAAAGAAACTACCTGATTCCTCCTCAGGACACAGCTGATTTAATGTCTTAAACAGTTTAACATAAACTTAACTTTTAACAAACAACAAAGAATCCTAACTGCTACATCAATGTGTGTTCTTAAAAAGGGAATGCAAATAATTCAGTGTATTTGTTTCAAAATCGATTTACTTTACTGGAATGCCACGATGCTGGAAGACAGGACAGGACTGTCTCTGTGAAGGGCAATGTTTGCCCTGCCGCGGCTGTCACTTGGACAGAAACAGAGAAGCAGCAATCCACTGGGTTTTCTCTTTTATAAAAAAAGGGGTGAAGAGAATAAACACTCTTCCCTCTCCTATTTCTTAAAAATTTAAGAGACCCTCTCTGGGTTGAAAGGGAACATGATACTGCCATTCACCATCCATGATTCCTACTGATGCAGTGAGGGACCAGACATTTCTGCAGAACACAGCCACGAAGAAGAAACCTGCCCGTCTCAGAACACGGAGTGTGCAACAGTAGTTCCACAACCTTATCAAAAACAAATAGGGGACACTGGAGATCAAAAATGGGAGTCAGCAGTTTACAGTGGTAGAAAAGGCATTCTGAAGGGACGTCCTTCACTGATTCTGCAATTCCAACCATCTTGATGGCCATTCTCATTTACAAAAGGAAAAAATTCCTACACCATTCAAATATCTACCCACCCCTGGCAGTTAAGTTCTAAAATTATAACCCGCTCTGGGAAACTAGGAAATTCACTTAATTTCTACCAAGTATTTCACAAATGCTACTTTGGGGGAGCGATAGCACAGCGGGTAGGGCGTCTGCCTTGCACGCAGCCAACATGGCCGACCCGAGTTCGATTCCTCCGCCCCTCTCGGAGAGCCCGGCAAGCTACCGAGAGTATTCGATATGCCAGACACAGTAACAACAAAGTCTCCAATGGAGACGTTACTGGGCCCGCTCGAGCAAATCGATGATCAACGGGAGGGCCTCTACTACTTTGGGGGAAAATATACTTGTATGTATGTATATAAATACACACAAAAAACAGATTTTATTAAAAACTCTTGTTCTTCTAGATATTATGAAACATCTTCTAGATATTATGAAACAAATGCATCCTTTGCAGTACCTATAAGTAACAATTATTATGCCAAATGGAAATAGACATTTCCTCTTAACACTATCATTTTTAAGAACTGAAGAGCTGAAAGAAAAAAGGTATTTGAAAACGGTAAGTTCTTTTACTGGGTCACAATGTTTTTCTGTCATATGAAGAAGAGTGGTAGCACAGCAGTAGGGCGTTTGCCTTGAGCACAGCCAGCCCAGCCGAGCAGGGTTCAATTCCTCCACCCCTCTCGGAGAGCCTGGCAAGCTACCGAGAGTATTCAATATGCCAAACACAGTAACAAGAAGTCTCACAATGGAGACGTTACTGGGCCCGCTCGAGCAAATTGATGAACAACAGGAGGACAGTGTTTTGTTTATGAAGAACTTTAACTTAATCACATAATCACTAGGAGAGAGTGAAAGACTGTGAGAACAAAGGAATAACCCTAGCAGAGGTTATATCACAAAGGATAACAGAATGCCAAACTGAAGTTCTTAAAAACTACAGCAAAAGCTTATTACCGACACACAATAAGATTGTTGATGGATTCCTGAAGGAAATATTTCCTTAACCTATCTGGAAATTCTGGGCTATTTCCTCAACCAAACATTTCTCTCTAAACTGCTCTCGAAGGGCAACAAGGATGGAAGGGCGAGGCCTTTGGCAGTGAGGGTGACCTGTGTGTGGTGCAGGGCGCTCGGTGTGCGGCAGGTGGAGAGCTATGAGCTGACAGGATAAAGCACACAGAGAGGCTACCACAATATGGACTAACTGGACACAGAAAACAAAGCATACGGGAATAGAACCGTACATGCTATCAGAGGAACCAGCGCATAATTCTGCATATGCCACAGAAGACCCACAATCAATATGTAGCTGGTCATGCTTCACTACGATGAAAACAAACCCAAGCCCCCATAATTAGAAAGAGCTAGAGGTCAAGAGCTGCCACAGTTCCAGTTAATATGACACATTCTACTTTCCTACAGGTCAGTAGAGAGAGCCATTCTTGTAAGCTGAAAGCAATCTAGCTTATTCTTTTTAAAAAGCCAAAACAAATTTCTCAATTTCATTGTTACCCACTAACAACACATCAGCAATTTTCTCTGAAGGACTACATTAGTGTAGTCTGTTTGATTATAGTCAAAAGCAAAATTCAATGGGCAGATGGAAAATGCATGATCAACATCCTTCACTGTGGTAAGTCGTCCAGGAACAGACATCCTCAATTGGCCTGTAGTTGCTCCTCTAGTTCCAAGGCCTCGAATTTCTACTTAAAAGTTATTGGCTGTATTTCTGAGAATAACACGGATAATAATAGATACACAGACCTATTTTACCTACATACTTCCATATTAGCTTTTTACGTGAAGTGCATGAATTCATCATGCAAATACTAGGTCCAACATAGATGTCTTAACCTGTAATGAGCACTTTACCTTGACAAAAGCATCATCTTCCACAGAAGCATCTCCACTCAACTCATCTGCTTCCTGTTTTTTACCTGCGAAAGAAGGAAAATGGGCTAACAACCAGTACTTTAAAAGCAAAAACCATTCCGTTTACCCCACAGTATCACGCTCCACTCCCAATCACCTGACAAAAGTTAATGCTGAAAGCTTCTAACGCAGTTCAGCCCAAACTCTCCCGAAAACGCTGTAGAATCAATGTAACACTACTTGCGAAAATAAACTAAGCAAATAGCTCCTCCTATTTATGAACTCATCATCTAAACTGACTTCTTACCGAGACACTCTTCCTCACAGCTTGATGATTCCTATCTCCAATCTTCCCCGACTGAGCAGCACCTTTCAACAGAGCAAACTCCAAGATGCATTATCGCTCAGGAAGACTTCCTAAATTTTCTTCCTCTATGTAACTTAACTGGACTGCTTATGAACCTGGAAAACAACCTAACTCTCCTCTTGAGCAAGGGAAATAGTCTCTCTAAAATAAAATTCCACACTTTACACCTCAGAATCCACCAGCTGGTTCTACTCTGCCTTGAACTCTGAAAGCAAATCCTGCTTCACCAAAGAAACTCCTCAAGAACAAGGACTATTTTCTCACTTTCCTCTGTGGGCCTACGCAGAAACAGTGCTGGGCGCTTAACATAACAACTGATTAAAAAAATAATAAATTTCAAAGAAAAAGTGACAGATTTAACTGCTTCAAGGCAAGCAAAAATTGCTTGGAGAACGAAAACTATGAGTAGTTACCAGATACAACCCGCACCTGTCCTTACCTTTAAAATATTACAAATTGGTGGCTAGAGCTTAGAAAACGTTTTCCCAGAGCTAGTGCTGAAAGTTTATTTGCAGGTTTGTCAAGAAAAACTGAGCCACAGCTCACAATAGATCAAAAATGTAGCTACAACTTGAGTATAAACTCATTCAACGTGAATGGATGCTTTTCTCCTAAGGCTGATTAACTGACTTCTGCAGAAACTACCATGTACCCCTGTACCCCTGTCTGTGACCCCCAAGACAGAGAGGCCAAGTTGTGCAATAACTGGAAGAGTTGGGTCCGTCCTGTCCAGTCCCCAGACTCCTTCCGCTGCCAACCTCTCCCCTGGCCATGAATGAGTGAGTAATAGGGAAAGAAACCGAATACTAAGCCTTTCGGGTATGTGAAAAACAAGATTAAAAGTGGAGATTTTCCTTTTACCCACGAAGGCTACCCTTGTCCCTGAGCGCACGTGTGGGTTAAGATAGAAACATGTAGACCTAGTGTGTCCTTCATTTCTTATTTGGAATGTTAAAGTTTTTTTTTTCTTTTTCTTTTTGGATCACACCCAGCGATGCACAGGGTTTACTCCAGACTCATACACTCAGGAATTACTCCTGCAGTGCTAGGGGGACCATATGGGATGCTGGGAATCAAACCCGGGTCGGCCACGTGCAAGGCAAACGCCCTTCCCGCTGTCCTATCACTCCAGTCCCACTTTTGTACTTCAGGGAAAATAAAAATTGGAAGTAACAAGAGCAACAAAGAGCCTATTCACCAGAAGTGTTTATTAACCCCCCCCCTTTTTTTAAAGATCAGAGCCAGAGAGATGGCTCAAGCGTAGTATGTAGGAGACTGAGGTTCACTCCCCAGCATTTAAATGATCCGAGGACCTTCCTACCATTGAGCTGGGATTTGTCCCTGAACACAGCCAGATGTGCCCCTGCCTCCTGTCCCAAACAGAAAGACCATCCTTGGGGTTGCAGCGCTATTACAGTGGGTAGGGCGCTTGCCTTGCTCACGGCCAACCTGGGTTGGATTCCTGGCATCCCATATGTTCCCTTAAGCACCACCAGGAATGGTTCAGGAATAAGCCCTGAGCACTTGATCCATAAACAAAACGAAAAAGAACGATCCCCACTCTGAAAAAGAAAGCAGTGAGAAAGAGCTCCTTAAACACTATGACATTTGAGCGAGCCAATAACACAGGCAAAGGGAAGAGAGGACAAGACTTTAGAGATGTAGGTCCCTCCTCCCACACACACAACTCCAAATAAACTAGAATGCCAAACTCGGAGGCAAAAAGAGCTATCTCAGTGGACTGGAGAGCAGATTTTGTACGCTGGAGTTCCTGGTTCAATCCCCACCAACAATAATCTCCCCAGCACTGCACCATGGACAACCCCCAAGCACAGAGCTGGGAGTAGCTGCAATGCCAAACCAGATGAGGCAAAAAAAAAAAGAGAGAGAGATTAAAAAAAAAAACAAAGAAAATATAAAGAACCAGAGAGATAATAAAGTGGGTGGGATGCCTGCCTTGCATGCAGCAGATCCAGGTTGATCCCAGCATTCCATATGGTCCTGAGCTCCCCAAGAGTAATTCTTGGGTGCAGAGCCAAGAGTAAGCCCTGAGCATCACCAGTTCTGGCCCAGAAACTGAAAACAAACCAGTAAAGGAGAACTGGGGGTGGGGGGACGATAACACACAGGACACCTTCAGATCATAAGCAATAAATATTTACTCTTTACTATTATGAACTGCTTTAAATTTTATAAGGCACTTAAAATAGTTCTACTGATTTTTCCAAGCATCCTACAGTATGTCAGACAGGTAATCACAATTTTACAACAGAAAAAAATGAACTTGAGAAGTAAATGAACTTGTCCAAATCTAGTATGTGGTGCTGTGAGAACTGGAAGACAAGGATTATCGTTTCAATTCTAAATTTCTTCACAACATCCTCCCCGAAGCACCTATCTAAAAGACATATTCTAGGAAGGAACAGTTAATGAACTCATCTTTGAATGGCAGGTCTGGATCAGCTCAATGACCAATGATTACACTGTGTACATTTCATGGTGAGTTTCACATTAGTTCATTTAGTGAACTCAGAAGGGCCAGCATGATACTACAGCGGGGAGTACATTTGCTTAGCACGCCTGGGTTCGATTGCTGGTACCACATAATGCTCCTCTGAACCTGCAAGGAACTATTTCTAAGCACAGAGCTAGGAGTAATGTACCCGACATTCCTGGGCACCAACACCTTTTCCCCCCCATCTCTCCCCCCTGCCCCCTCCACACCCAAAGAAAAAGGCAAATGTGAAGTATACTATGAGACCAACCACTGAGCAGACAGCATCACTGCTTAGGTGACTTCTGAGTTACATCCAAGAACTAAATACTTTCCCATGTATTACTGTATTGCATCATCGCTAGCTGCTCGGACACGAATATTCGTCCATGTTTACATGAGGAGAGGGAAGCTGAAAGGCTTCTCTGATTACTGAGTTACTAAAAGCTTCAGCTCAGACCCAGACTACACGGCTCCTCAAAACCCACAAACCCAGTAGGCTGATGGCTGCTTAAAATGCTTTTTTAGTGTCCACGGGCTCCCAAAGGCACCTTGAAAGACTTCTTAAATGTGAAAACGGAGATGAGACCTTGCACTGTGACACACAGTACAGGCAAAGGAGCACAACAAAGGGTCAAGCAAGCTGTCTGTGCTATGTCACACCCATCACAGCAAAGTATGGCTCTTTCAGCCCCAGGAGGTCCAAACACCAGGCAACGGAGTCTCCAACACCCAACATCCAGCATGAGAGTAATAAAAACTTCAAATCTACAGGCTGCCTTGTTTTTAAAAATCTATTTCCATAATCTGTAACTCTAGGCTTGTTTAATACATGCCAACGGGAAACTACACTATAATTTCTTCCTTTGTAATAATAAAGATACCACCTTTCCCCAGTCACCTTTCTACCAGTTACGATGTGCAACCTCTAGCCAGAAACTCATCTGATGCTGCACACAAGGCAGACACCCAAACACGTATGTCTGCCTCAGCACTAAGTCCTGGGTCGGAAGCTTGTCATAAGGCAAGTCTGGATTTCTATTCAGTCCACACTGGGATAAAGGCTAACGGGTGACGTGTGAGTCATGCACAGCGCCACACAAGGACAAGGCCACCTCTACACTGTCCTAACTGGTCTGGTGTCATGCATGAGAAATAAGGGGAAAAGCTTGAATTCCAGCACCACCAAAGTGAATTTTTAGCACAGTTTGCACTTACAGAAAAGAAAGGAAAAAAAGAGAAAGGGCATCTCAGGGACTAGTGGACACACAAACCCAGTGTGCAGGTGTGACCCTGAAGGGCAGAGCCCACATGGGAGCTAGGCACTGCAGAGAGCCCAGACCGGCACGTTCTGTCCAAACCCAGCATCCACCCACACCATCGCCCACGGAGCCTGTACAGCAGGGCCCCCACAGCCCTCTGTCCTTCAGAGAACCAGACCCAGTCAGACGGGCAGCAGGTGAGCAGGAGGAAGGCAATGGCAAAGCTTAACGTGCACCGAAGCCTTGCTTCCCTGGACTGAAGCTAGAAAAATGGAAAGACTGAAGAACCAACTTTTCAAAAGAATCAATTTATCAAATCTTCATCTGGCTATTCTGAAATGACATAAAATACATTGCAATGTTCTTTGTAATATTACAGTGTCTGAAAGTAAACATGTATACCCCTAAGAGTGCTGATGTCAGGAACATCTCATTATTTGTGAAACACAAATTTATAGAGTCCTTACAAATTCTTAAGAAATCACTGGGTCCAGACATCTTTCAAAATTTACAATATTTAGGGACTGGAAAAATCATGCCAGAGCTGATGCAAGTCCCTCACAAGCAGCTGACCCCATTTAATCCCCTGCACCAAACATGGTTCTCTTAGCACATAGCCAAGAGTAAGCTCTGAGCACCCCTCCATCCTACAGGGCAATTCAGTATTTACAATTTTCAGACTCTGGAAGAGCAAAGATGGTGTATATATAGCATTTACTAACTAAATATAACTGTCTCTCAGTGGTTTCTGTGGTGCCTCTCAGAACATATACTTCACATGCTGGAGGCGTGTGTTCAATCTCTAACAGCCCATGGTCCCCAGCGTGAAAGCCAAGTACTGAGTCAAGGGCATCCCTAAGCACTCCTAGTATAGATTCCAAACAAAAAAACTGTGTCCAAACAAATTTTCTTATTTGTTTGGCTTGCATACCAATTTTATAC